TAACTGCATCCACAGCACACTATGTGCTGACTAGTATCTCTGTCACATGCTTGGGCCTTTGACCTCCACAGAAGCTCAGAACCTCACCAGGTGATAAAGCACATTTTATCATCACATTTGATCCTCATCACAGGGTAAGGTTTGCTGTGTTATTCTCTTATATAGGAGAGGAAGCTGATCCACAGATAAGAAGGGACTAAGTGGGAAGGAACCAGGGGACACAACTTCCAGACTAGTTCTTTCTCCTCTACCAGTCTGCCTCATCTCACTTTATGTTATGCCTTCAGCTAGGGCAGACCCCTTAAGAAATTAAGAAATAGAGCTGGGCACCTGTAATCCCAACACTTTGGGAGGCTGAGGCGGGTGGATCACCTGAGGTCAGGAGTTTGAGACCAGCCTGACCAACATGGAGAAACCCTGTCTCTACTAAAAATACAAAATCAGCCGGTTGTGGTGGTGTATGCCTGTAATCCAGCTACTCGGGAGGCTGAGGCAGGAGAATTGCTTGAACCCAGGAGGCAGAGGTGGAGGTTGGGGTGAGCCGAGATCATGCCATTGCACTCCAGCCTAGGCAACAAGCGTGAAACTCCATCTCAAAAAAAAAAAAAAAAGAAAGAAAGAAGAAATAGAGCAGGAATTTAAGATGGAGATCGAGACATCAGGGGATCATTTTTTGTTTGTTTGTTTGTTTTTGAGACAGAGTTTTGCTCTTCTGCCCTGGCTAGAGTGAAGCGGTGTAGTCTCAGCCCACTGTAACCTCTGCCTCCAAGGTTTAAGCGATTCTTCCGCCTCAGCCTCCCAAGTAGCTGGGATTATAGGTGCCCGCCAACCACGCCCAGCTAATTTTTGTATTTTAAGTAGAGACAGGGTTTCACCAAGTTGGCCAGGCTGGTCTTGAACTCCTGACCTCCAGTGATCCAACCACCTGGGCCTCCCAACGTGCTAGGATTACAGGTGTGAGGCACCACACTCAGCGCTTTTTTTTTTTTGTTTGTTTTTGAGACAGAGTCTCAATAAAAAAGAGTTTTGCTCTTCTGCCCAAGCAGGAGTGAAATGGCACAATCTAAGCTTACTGCAACCTCCACTCCTGGGTTCAAACGAATATCCTGCTTCAGCCTCCCAAGTAGCTGGGACTGTAGGCATGTGCCACAATGCACAGCTAATTTTTTTTTCTTTTTTGAGATGGAGTTTTGCTCTTGTTGCCCAGGCTGGAGTGCAGTGGCACGATCTCGGCTCACTGCAACCTCCGCTGCCTGGGTTCGAGCAATTCTTTTGCCTCAGTATCCTGAGTACCTGTGATTACAGGTGCCTGCCACCACGCCAAGCTAATTTTTTGTATTTTTAGTAGAGATGGGGTTTCACCATGTTGGCCAGGCTGGTCTCGAACTCCTGACCTCAGGTGATCCGCCCACCTCAGCCTCCCAAAGTGCTGGGATTACAAGCATAAGCCACTGTGCCTGGCCCATGCATGCCTAATTTTAAAATATTTTGTAGAGACAGGGTCTTGCTATGTTGCCCAGCTGGGATCTCTGTTCTGAAGGACAACTTCATCCTCACCCTAGGGAGCATGAATCTCAACCTCCATGGCTCTGCCAGTGTGGGTCTCCCACTGAACTCATAGTCCTTATCTCCTGGCCTTTCCCACTCCATACCTTTCACCCAGTGATTTCAATTGACTCAGCTACTGCCCATATTCTAGTCTCCAGGCTCTACTTGGGGGGACCTACTGCCCTTCCAAAATCAATAGTTCTTCCCACCTGCTCTGTTTCCTCAATGGCAAGCTTCCCCTACCTGGATTCTAAGTGAGGTCCTTAGAGCCTATCTTTCTACTCCAATTTCCACCCCCATTTCACAGGGAAACTGAGGCTCAGAGGGAGAAAGGGACGTAAGACTATAACACCAGTCACTGACCATGCTAAGTGTAGGACCCGGATTACCTAACTAGTAGCCTAAAGCTCTATCATCTCTTCACACAGCAGGCCACAGGCTACCTCTTTCCCTCTCCTACCCACACTGAGTCACTCACCCACTCCCCTTGAGTCTTTCTCAAATACAGCTCTCCTTCAATATTCTTCTCACCCATTGTCACTGTTCTGGTCAATCCTCCTTACCTGTCACCTGAATTGTTGGAACAGATTTCCCAGTAATTTCCTAACAGGCAGCAGGCCCCAGTTCTGCCCACTGGACTCCAAGGTCCTTCACATTCTGCACACCCCACCTTATCCACATTAACTTCCTTTTTCTTAGTGCCTCAACAAACAGGTATTTTTTTCACATTGTGTGCCCTGGGTCTAGGTAGGCTCAGCTCTCTGGAACACAGACATATCGGGTGACTTGTGTCCCCCAGAAACTCCTTTTGGTGGGAAGTTATGATAAATAGAGCAAATAATGCAAGGAAAGATCTGAGTCAAAGCTTTGACTTGCAGGCTGCTGAAGGTGGGGAAAGCTTTCCAAGTGGGTGGCTGGGATGTAGAAAAGAAGCCTTCTCTTCCCCCAGCTATTCCTTCCACAAGAGGCACTTTTGTAGTCTCCAAACGCAGTATTACAACAGCCTCTGGGCCTCCCCTTGCTGCTTATAAACACTTCTCAGTCCACCGTCAGAACCCATCTTTCTGCCAGGGTGCCAAACATCTTACACTGTAGTTGTGGGCCTGTGACTGTGCTGCCTGCATATTCGGCTGTGCACGTCCAAGAATTTTGCCCAACTAAAAGTTGTAAACTGGTTCCATCTCCACACCCCCATCCCATTTTTATGACTACAGCCACATATGAAGGTCCTTTTTTTGCATTTACCCCTTTGTGTCCTTTGCTGACAATGACCTGCCCCTCCAATTCTGCATGATGAAATCTTTAAGACCCAACTTGAATGCCACCTCTTCCATGAAACCAATTTTCCTTCAGCAGAAGGAATCTCTCTTCTCTGAGCTGCTATGGATGTCTATTTACATACACATTCCTGCCTTGCCTTAGGTGCCTTACGTAGACTCTCCTCGGCTGAGTCTGGAGCCCTTGGAGGGGTAGAGTAAGCACGTCACCCAGTCTGTAACTGCACCTAGCAGCAGGTGCGGTATGAATGTCTGCCTCACCCACAAGTAGGGACAAGTGCCTGCTGCCCGCGGACGCAGGGCTTCCCGTTTGCGTCACTCACTTTCAGGTCCACCTAACAGAGTGGACCGGACACGGTTAGGTCACACAGCCAAAGGAGTCTGCCCACTTCAGCCAGTGGCTAGGGTGCACCTACCTTCTCTACTGTCTAGCTCCAAACGGGTTGTGTGTGTGAAGGAAGTTGGGGCCCGGTAGCCCCGCTGGCTCATCAACCGCGTCCACTCTGAGGATCTCCGAGCCCCAGAAGGCCTCCTTCCAGTCCGAGGACCTCAAGAAACTGCAGTCGGCGGTGCGGAAGCTATAGGGGCCTCTACCACGGATGCGTCTCTCACTAGCCTTTAGTTTAATAAATTTATTTATATTTTTTGGAAGGAGGGAGCATTCAATGAAGGGGAAGAGGCGGGGCGAAGGGCGGAGGCGGGCCCAGGGTGACTGACGTGAGCTCCGGGGAGCCAATGGCCCGTGGGGGGCGTTCCCCCCCATTCAGGACTCCTCGCCTGGCTCGGAAGGTATGTTAAACAGCTGCTTTTAATTTGGTCCCCCCAATCTCAGTCGTTTGGGGGGCTAATCCGCCGGCCGCTCGGTCTGGCCCGCCCGACGTGGTGTGGGCCCCGCGGGCCCTGGGACCGAGCTGAGGGGACGCTCGGAGTCCCGCGGCCGAGGTAGGCGAGGGACAGGCCAGGAAGGAGAGCTCTTGGCGCCGCCCGCTCGCTTGTGTGTGTGTTTCCAGCCGGGCCGGAGCCGCGGGGAGGGGGTCGGTCCGGCCTGGGGTCGTCCCTGCGCCGGCAGTGCCGCCTAGTTTATCTCACCGAGCAGTCGGTTTCGGTAGCTTTTGGCGGCGTACTGGAGAAGAAGCGGGCAGGAGACCCCCGCTCCTGTTGTGCCTTTTTCAAAAAAAGAAAAACATTAGGAAGGAAAAGGGGGATTCCGCACGCCGACTAGAACCGGGCCGGGGCCGCGGCTTGCAGGCTCGGCAGGGGGCGGCGTCTCGAGCATGGTCGGCAGGGCCCATTGAGCTTGCGGCGCCCGGAGTTGCTTGAGAGCTGGAGTTAGCGAGCGAGCCGGGGCCCGCGGCTTTCCCGGCTACCCACGCTGAGCAAGGGCGGCAGCCGCCCCGAGGGTTTTGTTTCTGCCCGCAAACTTGTCGGAGGGGGCGGTGGGCGCGCTCAGGAGAGGCGCGGGCACAGCAGGCCCGCGGTTGTTATGGACTCTGGGGGCGGGGGCAACACCGGACTTGCGGGAGGGGCGGCCGGGGGCGGGAGAGGCCACCGGAAAGAGTCCCTGCGCCTCGCCGCTAACCCCGCGAGCTGCCGGGGCTCTGAAGTCCCCGGCCGTGGCGGTCGTCAGCATTCGGTGCCAGAACCCGGCAGGCCGCGAGCCGGCGAGGAGCTCGCACCGCTGGTGGGGAAAATCCCCAGGAACTCGGCGGCTTCGCCCCGCGGCCCCGGCTGATCCCCTTGCAAACATGGAGCTGCCTGCTTCCCCGCCCACCCCAAGGCGGCGGCGGCGGCGACTGCTGCTCTTTTCCCCTCCCCCGGCCGTGCCGCCGCCGGGCCACCCCCCTTCCCGCGAGGTGCCACTGCGGGCTGCTCCGCGCGGATGGGGCGGGGGCGCGGGCGGGGGCGCGCCCACGAGGGGGTGGCCTGAAAGGGGCAGTGAAGGTCGGAAACTGGGAAAACAGTCTCCACGCTCGGAATCGGGAAAAGGAAATGCATCAGCGGGCGGGAGGGGCGCGGGGGGCGCGCCTGTCAGCCGGGATGGCGGCCGCGAGCGGGTAGGCGGGGCGCCGGCGCGAACCGTCCCGGCCGGGCGGGGCAACACCGGGAGAGGCGGCGCAGGGGCTCCCGTCCACCGAGCGCCACGCAGCCCCTGCCAACACTCCTCGACCCAGACTGTTTACTATCTACTCCGCCGGCGGCTTGTGCAACCCGCCTGGAGGGAGCGGAGGGGCGGGCCCGTTTCCTCTCTCCCACCTACCTCGGGCTCGCCCGGAGGCCCCGCCTTCTCTTGTCTTCCACTGGCTGGGCGCGACCCCCTTTTTCCTCCTTCTCGGATGTGGATTGGATGACATTCTCCCGAGCTCCGCCTATCGGGAGGCCGAGCTGGAGTTTAAGTTGCTAGGATTTTTTTTTTCCGCGGAGGGAGGAGGGAGGGTTCCTGCCGCTGACGAGAGGCGTAGGGTCCCGCCCCCGCCTCTGATTGGTGAGACGGGTAGCCGGGCCTCCTCCGGCTTTGCGAGCTTGGAGTGGGAAGTCCACCCTTGTTGCCCGCCTCCTCCCTTCGCTCCTGAGCGCGCTCGGCACATGTGTGAGGCCCGCCTAGCTCCTTCGAACTGCCCTCCCGCCCGGAAGTCCTAGGCTCGGCGCCCTTGGCGAGGGGGGCGGGGATAGCCGAGAAGCCACACAAAGGTTCCACCGAGGCTCGAGACCTGGTAGCCTTCGGGGTGAAGCCAGGGGATTACAGTGAGAACTGGATTTCGGTAGCGAAGCTCCGGAGGTTCTGCATAGGTTGAGATCTGCCCTTCGTGGCCGGGGCCAAGTACTAAAGTTCTAACCCTGTGGCTTGGCTATTTCCGCGCCCCTTGACTTCTCTGAGCTTAAACTGAGAACTCTGTAGACGCTGAAAGTGTTTGTTCTTCCCTAGGCATGGTAGCTGCCGTCCTTAGTTGGCTGTGTCTGAGACTTGACAACCTAGAGCGCTGGCCTGGGACCCTTTGGCGAGATCCAGCGCAGGTGGTACCCTGTGATCTCGGGACGTCGTGAGCGGCCTAATGCTGGCTTGGGTTCTGAGTAGTTTTTGATACCATGGTGAGCCTGCCCCGTGATACTCAGTCTAGTGGTGGAAGGGGGCGCAAAGTTAGAAGTAGCCTTGGGTCGGTTCTGCTGGAGTGCCACTTCCTCCTAACTTCCCAGCAGTTTGGCCCGGGGGTCGCTTCGTTGGTCTTATTTTTAGAGCTCTGTTCTGGGGCAGGGCTTGGCTACTGGCGAGGCTGCTCCCACCTGTCGACTCCCCATGAACTTCACAATTCTCTGCTGTGGTTTCGTGGCTCGAAGCCATCATTGGCGTCAGGCCCACCTGCTGCCAGAGGTCGTTCCTGACCATTTCCGCTGGATTGCAGAGGGAGGACAGAGTTGGACCTAGGAGTGGGTTCACTGGGCCTGTCCCTTAGGGTCTCAGCTCTCTGGGAGGAGGATTCGACTTCTTCTGGAGTGCGGTAAAAACCTAATCCCGCCCCCTCTCCTGGCGCTGGCAGAGTATCCCCCCAAAGTGAGGTCAGCTCAGGCCCACGCCCTATTTGGTGAATAAATAAAAGCAGACTAGGAATTGAAAGCATTTTGTTTCACTGTGTGTTCGAGGCACTGTTACCTACACAGAGAGGGCACAGGGACTGCCCTTAACACTCCTGGCCAGGAGAAGGTGAACAGCCGTTTTATGTCCCCAACTACGGAAGTTTTATCCTTTCTCTGAGTGTGACATGACCCCAAAGTTAATTTATGCCGTGGCCTGTTTCAGTCTTTTCCTCTCCTTTCTCAGTTCTGAGGATGCCTCCAGATCCACCGGGGAGATCGTGAGTACTTGTGCCTCACGCCCCGCCCTCCGGAGGCTTGCCAGGGCGGTGGCTGTTAGGGCCCGCCTCTCTTTGGGTTATCTCCGCCCTCCTAGGACTGCATATTCAGCTCTAGGGAGTGGGCTGGACACCCGTGGGGTTATTTTTCTGCTTAGGTCTCCAGACCTTAGTTCTGTACTCTACTTGGCTGAAAAGAGTTGCCAGCTGCTCGGGGTATTTGTGTTTACGAGGACACAGTATGTAGAATGTAAACTGTAACTAGATGGGGACTAGGAGTTCTCACTCTCTCATTTTTTTGTAAGGGAGTCCTCCAGGGCGGGCTGCCTTTCCTCTTCAAATCCTAGGATGTGGGGTCTCTGCTGATGATCTCCGCGCTGCGTCCTGTCTCAGGCCCTGGAACTCCGAGCTTCAGTCTCTAGTGTAAACATTCCACAAAAGGACTGCTAAGGTTCAGCCTCCCCGCGCAGGGCGGAATTAGGTCCTTCCTAGACGGGCGCCCTGGCCAATGGAGTGTCCTACCAGCGCCAAGATAACCAATCCTATTCTTGGGGCGGGGCCTGGCCCGGCAGTGCGGTAGGCGGAGCCTGTTTCACTTACAGACATTTTACCCCACATCGGTTACTTACCTTCCTGGGGCGGTGGGAGAGCCAGGGGTAGCCTTCCAATGCGATGACCGGCGGAGGCGGGAGCCAACTTATTAGGCCTGTGGCTGAGACGCTGTGGGGTGGGATATGTGGTGTCCTCCAATAAGACGGGAAGAGCTTCCCGGCTTCCTCCAATAGTGTTGGGGCTCGGGGGTGGGCTTCAGCAGTCCGTCTCCAATAGGCGGGGTTGAGTTAAGGAAGCTCCCCGCCAATAGGGGCGTGGAGAAGGTGAGCGGCTCCCCCTCCCCTCCCAGTCGAGGGGGGAAGGGGCGGGAAGTCAGCAGGCAGGCCTCTGTAACTGGCTGAGTCTTTGATGGGCGGGTATTGCGTCCTGTGCTGGAACGAAGCTGAGTCTTCCCTCTGCGGGGCGGGCCGGGGGAGTGGGCGGGATTTCCCGGGTAACAGAGAAGCGGCCGCGGCGGTAGAGGCGGCGGAGACGGTTTCTCCATCTTCCCCCCTCCCCTTCCCCCCTCGGAGTTTCCCTCCCTCCCTCCCTCCCTCCTTCCCAGTCTGGGCACCGGAGCCTGTGACCGCTTCGTTAGCGGAGAGGTAGCTGCCAGTCCGCTTCGGCGGGCCTGTGCCCCGCGCTGTTCTGCGGGCCTCCCTACTGAGCTCGCGGCTCACGCCGAGAGGGACACGCAGTGACGAGCGGCCGAAGCAGCTTTGCGGTGAGAGCACGCAGGGCCGGGGGTCGGGCGGGAGCCTGGTGGCGGGTAACGCTGGACTCGAGGGTGTGTATTTTTAGGGGGGCTGACCTCCTCGGCTTCCCGTAGAGCAGACGGGCGGGAGGTGTGTGGCTGTGTGAGGGGGGTGGGGGGCGGAGCGGGGTAGCTCTCCGCGCGGGAGGGGGAGGAGAGCGTAGTCCCGGTGCGCGCGGAGGGGGGCGGGCTCTCGCGCCGCCGCTCAGAGGCGGGGTCGGCGCGCGCGTGCAATTGTGGAGAAAGGGGCGGGGCCGGCCTCGGGCTGAGTGTGGTTTGCGGCCGACTACCCACTCCTCTGCTCCGGGGGTGGGCGGGGCCTCGGAGTGGCGGCGCGCTCCGGCCTGCTCGGGTCCGGGACGGGTAGGGGGGTCTCCCGCGTGTAGACTCTGGGCGCGGCAGAGAGGGGGCGTGAAGTCGAGTTCCTCCGCCTTCTCGGGATCCGGTTGGCCGGAGGGGCCGTACTGATCCGCGGTGCCACTCCCCTTGGTCGTCCCCCGCCCCGGCCCGGGGTTTCCGCCTCCTTGGCAGTGAGGCGGTGCTAGGGAAAGCCCGCTGTCGGGTCTGCCTGGGAGTCTCGGCGTCTAGATCTGCCCCGCCCTATGTCTCCGTGGTGTGGGAGGAGCCCCCGCCCACTGGGAGCTGCAGAGGTGTCAGGACTTACTCCAGCGGCTCGGTCATGCCTTCTGCCTGGGGCAAGAGGGCCCTGTTCCGGAGCTGTTTTCTCCGCTTTGCTCCTTGCAGCGTGTCTGGCACTGTGCAGGCTGGAGAGTGGGAGCATGGTCACTCCCACTCCCCTCTTGGTTGTAACTACTGGGGCGAAGTGCTTTAGGTTCTCCCGTAGGAGCGTGCGTGGCTGATGCTGGGACGCTAGTTCTGTGGTGGTGATGGTGGGGGAGGGGAGGGAAGGGGAGTCGTCGGAAACCAGAAATGTGGCAGAGGGAAAATCTTCCCTGGGGTTCCCTTGATGTTCAGTTACCGTGGCTGTGCGGGGCGGGGCTTCCTTTGAGCCAATGGGTGGTGGGTAGTAGACTTGGCGTCTGTTTCGGTGCGTTAGGACTTTAAACCCAGTTAGCCTTGAAAAGGCCGTGGAAGCTCCTCTTTACAAGGCTGAGATTTATAACAGTTAAGTTTGGATTTACATTTTAATCTCAAAACTGGTCTATTTATAAAGTAGGTGTTTTGTGTTTTGTTTTGTTTTTTGTTTTTAAAGAAAAACTCAGACTTTGAATAAAATACTCTGATATCTCTGACACTTATATTTTTGAATGCTTCCATTGTGCAGATGGTTCTGGTATATAAACTTAGTTTCCCGGCAGGGTGCGGTGGCTCACTCGTGTAATCACTGCATTTTGGGAGGATAAGGCAGGTGGATCACTTGAGGTCAGGAGTTCAAGACCAGCCTGGCCTACATGGCGAAACCTCAGCTAAGTACAGGTGAAAAGTCTTCTCTTTCTGGTTTTCTTTAATTCTATTAGAATTAGTAGAAAGTACTCAATACATCTAGACCACTTTCTACTTATAGTCTACATAGTACAGTGTTCTTGTTCTTTTTATTTCAGAGTCGGGTGAAGTTGTGGATCAGGGTAGCCTTCTGTATATGACTTTTGTAGCGTTGCCCTCCACCCTGTATTGGAGAGTCACCTTAGGACATTTTAGATATGCAGAACCACATTAGATGAGACTTTGACATGATACATTATATTTTCCTATTGAGAGAAATTATTTCAGTGTTTTTCATATTTTTCATGAGAAAGTAAGCATGGAACGAATGTTTATGTAGTGATGTCTAAATGAGCCTCTGGTTAATTACCTGAAGTGCAATTCTAGATTTGTGCCAAGTGGTGCCCTGTGCTATATAATCTGTGAAAAGGGTAGGTCCTACCTTCTCTGCTAAGGATGTTGTAAAAGCAACAGCACTTTAGTTAATGATGACTGTAGTATAATTGGTGGGGAGACAAAAAAATCCAGGTTTTTTTTTTTTTTTTTTTTTTTCTGATGCCATAAACTGGGAGAGATAGTGGAGAATGATTGACCATTGAGGAAAATTTGGTTTACATATAGTAGTTCCCCAACATTTGCAGTGCTGTATACCGGGGAATACAGAAGAGTCTAAGGATTCAACTACGAACCTGGTTTTTCTGTATTAGGATCGTTTCCATAAATGCTTCATAATCTCCAAATACCAATTTTGTATATTATAGCTTTGTTCAGGGATAATAGCTTGCAAAGATCAGCACGTTGTAATTAAGACAGTTTTAATAATTTACATACAGAGAAAGATTTTTTTTTTTAAGGAAGGAGACGTGTAGTAATTTGACAAGATTCCTGGCAAAGCATAATTCTGTTTACATTTTCCGTGTGAACAGACAAGGCACTGGAGAGCTGTGCATGGCAGATGTTAGTACCTGGGCATTTTAATTGGAATTAAAAGGTTATGTCCATGGCAATCAGTAGTATAGCATAGTGCTTTTGAAGGCTTTCTCACTTTTCTAGGCAATTCCACCAGCCAAGTGTTTGTTAAGCTTTACTTTCTGTAGGCCTTTAAAAAAAATACAAAAATACATAGTATATTCTTTTTCAAAATACACCCTTTTCGCCCCTTGAATAATAAAAGCTTATATTTATTGAGCACTTACTGTGTCACAGTTACTGTGTTAGGCGCTATACTTTTTTGTACAGGTATTGATCGACTTACGACCTATGCAACTTAACGACCATTCGACTTTACGACCGCAATCGCTAGCCACGACTGCTCTGCGTCTGGCAGCGCAAACGTTGCCCACCTGGGCATATGACAGTGCGGGACAATACATATAGCACATAAACATATATGCTATATCATATCAGTAGTCATTTTCTTGCCTTTCTTACTAAAATGTGAGTGGTTTATATCCCTATATCTTTAACAATATTAGAACATACTAAATTTAAATTATATTTGAACAAGTTATCCAGATGACATCTTTTATGATGAATGCTACATATTTGTATCCCATGGAAAGTCACATAAAATTGTGATGATTTACTTTTCTATTTACAACGATAATAAATAAATACCTGGCAACTAGTCCTTTTTATCCCTAAGACAACATAGTTGGTACTCTTCTGCTTTTCAGAACTCATCATGTGCCGTGGTTTTTCACTTCAAACCATAGACCACCGTGGTTCAGTGATCTGTGCATATTCCACAGTTTTACACAAGGCTGCGCCTTTACCACAAGTTAAGGTGGCTTTTTAAAAATGAGATTTGACAAGAATGCTTTCATAATAAGCATTCAGATCAACCTTTACTACTGGTAGTGCAGTGTTTTACTTAAACCTGATGAATGTAAAAATAAGAAACAAAATGGTGTGGAGATGATACAAATGGCGTAAAATGAACAAAGAAAATTATGATATATAACAATAATGAAAGAAAATTATGATAAAATATGACTTAAAGATTTTTATAACATCATTTCACAGTACTGTACATATAGCCTACTCAACTTACGACCAAATCGTGTTACGGCTGGTCTGTTGGAACCAATCGTGGTCGTAAGCCGAGCACTAGCTGTAATTTTTTTTTTTTTTTTAAGATGGAGTCTCTCTCTGTTGCCCAGGTTAGAGTGCAGTGGCGCCATTTCAGCTCACTGCAACCTCCACCTCCCAGGTTTAAGTGATTCTCCTGCCTTAGCCTCCTGAATAGCTGGGACTAGAGGTCAGCCCCACCATGCCTGTCCAATTTTCGTATTTTTGTATTGATGGGGCTTCACCATGTTGACCAGGCTGGTCTCAAACTCCTGGGCTCGAGTGATCTACCTGTCTTGGCCACCCATAGTACTGGGATTATGGGCATGAGCCACTGCACTGGGCTGCATAATGTCTGTTTTTTTTTTTTTGAGACAGTCTTGCTCTGTCACCAGGCTGGAATGCAGTGGTGCGATCTCGGCTCAGTGCAACCTCCGATTCCCAGGTTCAAGTGATTCTCCTGCCTCAGCCTCCCAAGTAGCTGGGGCTACAGGCACATGCCACCACGCTCAGCTAATTTTTGTATTTTTAATAGAGTTGGGGTTTCACCTTCTTGGCCAGGATGGTCTCGATATCTTGACCTCGTGATCCACCAGCTTTGGCCTCCCAAAGTAGTGGAATTACAGGTGTGAGCCACAGCACTTGGCTTCTTTCATCATATTGTGGTATGTGTTAGAATTTCGTTTTTTTTTTTTTTTTTTTTTTTTTTTCTTTTTCTTTCAAGACAGAGTCTGGCTCTGTTGCCCAGGCTGGAGTGCAGTGGCATTGCAGTGTTGACCTTCTGGAGTTAAGTGATCTTTCCACCTTAGCCTCGCAAGTAGCTGGAACTACAGGTGGGTGCCACCACACACCTGGCTAATTTCTTTTATATTTTTGTAGAGATGAAGTCCTGCTGTGTTGCCCAAGCTGGTCTTGAACTCCCGGGCTCAAGAGATCCCCCTCTCTCAGTCTCCTAAAGTGCTAGAATTACAGACGTGAGCCACTGTGCCCAGTCATGGTGGCAATTTCTGTTATATTTCTTTTTTTTTTTTTTTTTGAGACGGAGTTTCACTCTTGTTACCCAGGCTGGAGTGCAATGGCGCAATCTCGGCTCACTGCAACCTCCGCCTCCTGGGTTCAGGCAATTCTCCTGCCTCAGCCTCCTGAGTAGCTGGGATTACAGCCTGGGCAACATAGTGAGACCCCCGTCTCTTAAAAAAAAAAAAATTAGTAAGGTGTGCTGGTGTGTGCACCTGTAGTCCCAGTTAGTTGGGAGGCTGAGGCAGGAGGATTGCTTGAGCTCAGGAGCCTGAGACTGCAGTGAGCCATGGCTGTGCCACTGTACACCAGCCTTGGTGACAAAATGAGACCCTGTCTCAAAAATGGGGTCAGGCGCAGTGGCTGATGCCTGTAATCCCAGCACTTTGGGAGGCCGAGGTGGGTGGATCACGAGGTCAGGAGTTCAAGACCAGCCTGAC